ATCCATGAAGATGATAGATGGAGCATGTTCCCGTGCCATGACAAACAGCTCCCTCACCATTCTTGCCCCTGTGTGGAGGTCAAGCTGATGTTAGGGAGCTTATTACCTCCCTAACCCCCTAACCTCTTGCTTCTCACGTTCCTAGGCATGGTTACCTTCCCCAATGAATTTCTGTACCAATTCAGAGCCAGAGACACGAATAAAGGTACAGTCTGTATGATGAGCCACAGCCCGGGCCAACAGTGTCTTCCCAGTGCCTGGAGGTCCATATAGCAGCACTCCCTAGAGGGGAACAGCAAAAGTCAGGGCAGAAAGCTACCTCATTTCATTCAGTGAACATTACCGAGTGTTGGGTCCCTTGCTATAGGTTAGGGATACCAAAAAAAAAAATCAAGGTCCATTCTGGAGCTTATATCCGAACCACCACCCTAGGAACACTTCCCCAGCCATTCTTTTCAGGGGAAAGGCCAGCCTAAGCCAGGCTGGCTAGGATAGGAGTAGTAAGGTAGTAAGTACAGCTTGGCCCTCCCAGAGAAGCCCTGCTACTCACCTTGGGCTGAGCAATGCCCAGTGCTTCGAAGAGCTCGGGATGCTTAACAGGCAGCTCGATCACTTCTTTGATCTCCTTGATCTGTTTGTCCAGTCCACCAATCATCTCATAAGTCGAATCTGGCACTTTTTCCACCATCATCAATGATACCAATGGGTCCACCTTATTGGGCAGGATCTTGTGTAGAGTGTAGCTGTCATTTCTTAGAGCCACCCGGCAATTGGGTGTCACCTGGGTGAAGGGGGCAAGTTTCACAAGTGGTGCAGTAAGAGCTGACCCCACTACCCCCTCCACCCCCTCACCTGCTACACTCACGTCATTGATGTCGATGTTTTTGTCCACGTCTACAACAAATTTGCCCTCAGGATGTACCTAAAGAAACAAGGGCCCATGACCTTCTGACAGCCACCAAATCACTAACCCTACTCAGGAAGACCTATGAGAATCCCACAATATCTTGACAGAACACAGAACCCTGTCTCCCAAGGCTACACACAAAGAGGTGGGAATGCAGCAGAGACTGGGCTGGTCCCTGGGTCATGCTGCTTTTACCTTGACCAACACTTTCTTCTTATCCATGGCCCGGACTACTTCCCCCACATAGGAGCCCTGCTCCTGCAGCAGCTGTAGCTCCTCCCGCAATAGGCGAACTAGATGGCAAACAGACATGGTGATCACCTAGCTACTCCTTGGGAGCTCCCAGGATCCAATTCTACATGCATGAGCTAAGTACCACTCAAGTTATTAAAGGAAGGCCAAAGGTCAAAATTTGTGTCCTTTTTTTTTTTTTTTTTTTTCCTTGAGACAGAGTCTCAAAAAATTAGCTGGGCACACCACCATGCCCAGCTAGTTTTTGTATTTTTGGTAGAGACGGGGTTTCACCATATTGGCCAGGCTGGTCTTGAACTCCAGACCTTGTAATCCACCCACCTAAGCCTCCCAAAGTGCTGGGATTACAGGCATGAACCACCGCACCCAGCCAAAATTCTTGTCTTTAAAGAGGTTACAATGGAGCTCAGGAAAGAGAGATACACGTGAAACTACTAGATGACAATGGAGAAAACAGCACTGCTATGAATACAGTGCAGGGAGGTTAGGACAGAGCTCAAACTGCCCACATGCAGCTTCACATCTTTCTTCACTCACCTTTAGCATTTAGTTCATTCCTCTGTGCCTGCAGCCTCCGGAGGTTTTGGCTCTTATCATTCACAATCAGCTGTAATGGACAAGAGACAAATTTCATTACTCAAGGGCAGGAGACGGGAGGAGGTAGGATCTTGGCCAAGACCTCACAGGTCGGAACGAGCTGAGGGAAGGGCACAGGACACCTGCATGTTGTTTCAGATTCTCCAGTGTGTTCCTAATGACCCTGTCCTGTCCTCCACGAGCCCCTCTGGAGCCTAGGGCAGCCATCAAAGAAGGCTGCTTGTCCACTACTGGTCCGGGAATAAGAGAATCTAATGGAGAAAAGTTACAGCTGGCTCATGTAACACTGAATTCCTTACGCGAAGGCAACATCACCTGGTGGAAAGATCGTCAGGTGAACTCACCTGAGTTCTAGCCCAGCTACTATCAAATCAAAAGCAAAGTAAAGCTAAGGCAAGCTATTTTTAAAAATCTACATCTGTTACCAAACGGCTCACGGGTATAGTATCAGCTGCCCTGCTGCTTTTCAGAACTACTGAGGTGAACGAATAAAAATGATTAACTAGGCCGGGCGCAGTGGCTTATGCCTATAATCCCAGCACTTTGGGAGGCCGAGGCGGGTGGATCACAAGGTGAAGAGATCGAGACCATCCTGGTCAACATGGTGAAACCCTGTCTCCACTAAAAATACAAAAATTAGCTGGGTGTGGTGGTGTGTGCCTGTAGTCCAGCTACTCGAGAGGCTGAGGCAGAAGAATTGCTTGAACCCAGGAGGCGGAGGTTGCGGTGAGCCAAGATCGCGCCATTGCACTCCAGCCTGGGTAACAAGAGTGGAACTCTGGCTCAGGAAAAAAAAAAAAAAAAAAAGATTATCTAAACATAATACCTGCAAATGCACTTGGAATTCAGAATTCTTCCTTGTGGCTTTCCCCCACCCAATTTACATTACAGCTGACCCCTGAACAACGCAGGAGGTTAGGGCGAAATTGAAAATCCATGGACTTGTCCCAAATTAAACTACTAATCGCTACTGTAACACTATAACACCACACTTAACACTAATAGCCTACTGTTTATGTTGTCAGTAAGGCTTACCACTGAAAGCCATACCTTACTACTGGTAGCCTTACTGACAACATAAACAGTCAATTGGGGTTAGGGTGAAATTGAAAATCCATGGACTTGTCCAAAGTTAAAATACTAACAGCCCACTGTAACACTGTAATATAACACTATAACACTAGCAGCCCACTGTTTATGTTGTCCAATACTGGTTCAGGAATAACAGAATCTAATGGAGAAAAATTACAGCTGGCTCCTGTAACAGGGAATTTCTTGCGGGAAGGCAACATCACCTAGGGGAAAGATCTTTAGGTGAGAAGCCTGAGTTCTAGCCCAGCTGCTGTCAAATCAAAAGCAAGGTAAAGCTAAGGCAAGCCGTATTTAAAAATCTAGATCTATTACCAAATGGCATGTGGGTATCGCATTAGCTGCCCTGCTTCTTTTCAGGACTACTGAGGTGAACAAATAAAAACACATGAAAAAGCATTCAAAAATGGTAAACTAAACATAATACCTGCAAGTATTATGCAGTAAGGCTTACTACTGGAAGCCACACCACCTTACTCCTGGAAGCCTTACTGACAACATTAACAGTGGATTAACAACATAAACTGTCCTTTATCTATGGTTCAGTGCTTTAGGCTAGAGCTCTGGGTTGCCCCGTTTCTTTCATTCAGTCTCCATGGAATGAGCATTGTTCAGACGTCTCAATGATGCCTTTCCTCACATTCTCACTTCATTCACCCTGACCCAACCTCTTCGTGATAAATCTTATCTCCTGAGCCTGTGTGTTCCCTTTTCTAAGGAAACACATTCGGGCTTCTTCCAAAAGGGTTGACCTTTGGCTAGAGGTACCTTTTCTGTTAAGATTTGACTGTTGAAGACGTGGAACAAACTGTGAACACCAGGACCCTCAAAGGGGTGGGACTTGAGGAGAACAAGAGATTGCTTACTTCTGACATACACACCCCACTAAGAAACAAACTTTCAAGAAAGGAGAAGCAGCAGCTTCTTCCACTGCACTCCCAGAGGAATTAGATTTGTGGAAGTCAGCTGCCATCCCTCCCAACCCCTCTCCTAGCTCCCGCTGGAGTCTGTCCTCACCTGGAGTTCTTCAATCTTGGACAGATAATATTGGCGGAGTCCGCTGCCTGCCTTCCCCTCCTCCAGCTCCATCTGAAGACACAAAGTGAGTCTTAAACGACAGGCTAAACGTCCGAGGGGGTAAAGCCACTTGCAGGGCACTTTAAATTAGGCTTGACACCAGGCAGCTTTGCGTAGTAAAAAAGTTTGGACTTCGGAGGCTCGGGATCTGGGTTCTAATCCCTCCCTCCCTTGGAACCCTCCATTTTCTCATGATTAAAATAAAAGAATGGGAACGCCGCCTACCTCGTAAGACTTTTAGGAGGACCGAGGGGCGATATGATATACACGGGAGCGCTTTGCACTGCGTCAAGCGCTCTACAAGCCCGAGTTGTCATTACTGCCGACGGAGCCAGCGAAATGGAGCCGAAGGACGGGCGTCCGATCTCCTGCGACCCGCGGGCCGGCGGTTCCCGCGCCCATTGCTCCCCTCACTCACTCCACTTCTACCGTGTCTCCTCTTCAGCTTTGCCCTGACTCACCGAGGGCGGCGCTGACACAGCAGATCCGGTCGCAGGCAGCGTCCAGCCTGGACTGGTCCAGCCACCTTCGACCCACCCGACCCTCCTACGCCGGCCCGCTCTCCACCCAGATCACACCCGCTCCTCACACAGCCCCGTAACCCGCCGGGCCGCCACTGCAGCCGCCATACCTGCTCTGGCCCGTCAAGCGCCATCTTCTCTCTTCAGCAGAGACCGCCGGCATCCGAGCCGTCTTGGAGCGCAGGCGCGGAAGACAAGCCTTGGGACCTGACGACTAGGCAGACAAAAGTTCCGGGTCAATGGGCGGAGTGTGCGGCGAATCCGCACTAACTAAGGGCACCATGATGGGAGGGGCGGCTACTCGAGTTCATGGGCTTTGGAAAAGGATGAAGAGGGAGTAGAACGCCTCAGTGTTGCCTCGTAGAAACTATGTTTATAGTGCTGTAATATGCCTCCCTGGTCCCAACTTTCAACTTACAAAACCCGAGGACAGAGTACCGAGAAAAATCTATGGCCACACGCAAAATGGCGGAAAACCTTGCACCAGGGACGCAGGGGACGCAAACGGAAGCGGAAGTACGTTTGCTGCGCACATGTGCAGCTTCAAGTGTGGAGAAAGCAGCGCTGGCTATCTACGTGGAGTGTGTAGAGCCGGGCGCGAGGTGGAATTGCTGCGGAAAGTGGGAAACTGGAAGTAGAATCTGGTGCTCCGGAAAGAGACGTTCCCAACTTCTGCTTTCTCCTCAGATTGAGCATTACTCCCCCATTCTACCATGGGCAAGAAGGGCAAAGTTGGCAAGAGCCGACGGGACAAGTTTTATCACTTGGCGAAGGAGACGGGTGAGTCTGGATTCGGATTCGCTCAGTCTGCGGGCAAGCGAGCGAGCGAGCGAGCGATCTCTGCCCGGTTCGCCTCCAGTTTCCGACCATTGGGTTCCTCTCCTGCAGAACGGGTGGTGGTTTACAAGGCGGTAGAAATCCTGCTGGTGAAGCCCTCTAGGCACTTGGTTGTTTTGTCCAGGTTACCGTTCCCGATCTGCTTTCAAGCTGATCCAGCTCAATCGCCGCTTTCAGTTCCTGCAGAAAGCACGAGCCTTGCTGGATCTGTGTGCTGCGCCAGGGGGATGGTACGTAACACTCACCACAAGTGGCAGCTCTCTGGGTTCAGAGCCGGGATGGATTCCAGTTTCATTGCGGGAGGACGGGATTCGGGATTCCCCTCCCGGAATACAGTAATTCCAGCCTCAGATTTCTCTACAGCCCAGAGCATAGGTACCTCCTAAACTTTGGGGACCGTTTCCTTTCTTGATTGCAGACAAAAGGCTTGGAGTACGTGCATATGACATGCCCTGGCCAGTGCACGTTAACACCAGGGATGAGAGGTCAGTTGCCAAGAGAGGGAAAGGGTGAGCTCTAGGTTTTAAAATCTCTATTCCTTTTATAGGCTGCAGGTAGCTGCCAAGTTTATGCCTGTATCCAGCCTTATTGTGGGTGAGTGAGGACAGCTCTCCTCCGTGTTTTAAGGGATGGGTGTATGAGGTACTTTGTCATGTATTTCTCTTCTCCCTGTTTGAGGCAACCCTTTAGAATACTCTGACCTGATTTCTTCCAGGAGTGGACCTGGTTCCAATCAAGCCTCTCCCCAATGTGGTGACTCTCCAGGAGGACATCACAACTGAACGCTGTAGGCAGGTAATAGGAGTCTCTCTTCCATTCCCATTTATATGCAAACATCCACATCCCCAGAATCCTCTAGAGTTTAGAGGATGTTCCATGTTTTGAGCACGTTCCTGCCTGACATCTGTATGACAAGACCCATGGTTTCCATAGTGTCCACTCCAGCCTTTATTTAGAGTGAGGGATGAAGGTGTTTGGAATTGGGAGAAAGACAGAGATCTTTAGTGAAGTCTTTTCCTGTGAACTCACTGTTAGACTGTACGCTCCATGAAGGTAGAAACGTAATATTTTTGTTTGTTATTTTCTGTGCCTGGAAGAGCCTTTGGCCCATGATGGGCACTCAACGAATGACTGGATGGACAAATGGCTGAATTAGGCCTATTACCGTGTTTCTGTTTCTGTTTCCATAGTTCCTTTTCTTCTCTTTAGGCCCTGAGGAAGGAGCTGAAGACCTGGAAGGTTGATGTTGTGCTAAATGATGGGGCCCCCAACATTGGGGCTAGCTGGGTCCATGATGCTTACTCACAAGGTACAGGGAGTGTGGCACTTGGAGATCAGGTGATGGTGGAGGTGTGCACATGCCCTCTTGGGCTGCAGAATGCCTCAGCTGTCTCTGTCCTACAGCCCATTTGACACTGATGGCTCTGCGTTTGGCTTGTGACTTTTTGGCCTGTGGTGGCTGCTTCATCACAAAGGTTTTCCGTTCCCGTGACTATCAGCCTCTGCTATGGATCTTTCAGCAGCTGTTCCGCCGTGTCCAGGCCACCAAGCCCCAAGCGTCTCGCCATGAATCTGCAGAGATCTTTGTGGTCTGCCAAGGTGGGCATCACTTCCTTTCTCTTGGTCCAGCCTTCCTATTCCCAAAGCATAGTTGTAACATATCCTGTCATTTTTAGGATTCCTGGCCCCTGACAAGGTTGACAGTAAATTCTTTGACCCCAAATTCGCCTTCAAGGAGGTTGAAGTTCAGGCTAAGACCGTTACTGAATTGGTAACTAAGAAGAAGCCAAAGGTGTGTTTTGGGGAATGCGGTTACCATTGGGTCCTGGAACTCTGGGGAGGTTGGGCCTCATACCCTAGAAGGGACTGCCCAACCTTCTCTATTTTTCTCCCTAAGGCCGAAGGCTATGCTGAGGGTGACCTCACTCTCTATCACCGTACCTCAGTCACTGACTTCCTCCGAGCTGCCAACCCTGTTGACTTCCTCTCCAAGGCCAGCGAAGTGAGTCTCCAGCCTTGAGGGACATGAGGTAACCCTGGAAACATGGCCTGAGAATCTCCTTTCCCTTCTCCCAAACAGATCATGGTAGATGATGAAGAGTTGGCACAGCATCCAGCCACCACTGAGGATATACGGGTGTGCTGTCAGGACATCAGAGTGTTGGGGCGCAAGGAACTCAGGTATGCAGTGGGGTGGGCATGGGGGCCAGGAGCCCTGGAGGCAGGGAAAGGCCATGATGTTGGATCTCTGGGAAGAGGATGTTGCTGTGCTAAAGGTTTGGGGTAAGGGCCTGAGCCTTTTGATTTATGTAGCCAAAGCCTGAAATTTGGTTAGTGAGTCTAAAACAGAAGCGGGCAGGGAGAAAGAGGGAGATGGCAAGACCAGTAATAGTATTTCTGGGGCAGGTCGCTACTAAACTGGAGAACAAAACTTCGGCGGTATGTGGCCAAGAAGCTGAAAGAACAAGCAAAGGCACTGGACATCAGGTGAGTAGGGAACTCAGCCAGGCAGGTGTTGGTGGGGTGTTGAGGGAAAGTCAGGAAAATAACTGAACTCCTTGGACTGTTTTGCCAGCCTCAGCTCTGGAGAGGAAGATGAAGGTGATGAGGAGGACTCAACAGCTGGGACCACAAAGCAGCCCTCTAAGGAGGAGGAGGAGGAAGAACAACTGAACCGTACCCTGGCCGAAATAAAGGCCCAGGAGGTGGCGGAATTAAAGAGGTGAGAGGAGCTGGGGTGAAGCATGGAGTCTCCCAATGCAGGGATCCTCCGTGTGACAATGGGAAAAGAAAATGCAAGGCATGGATAGAAACTCTTCAGAGCTGGGCACATTTACTCTTTCAATCTACTCCCTCAGGAAGAAAAAGAAGCTGTTGCGTGAGCAGAGAAAGCAGCGGGAGCGTGTGGAGCTGAAGATGGATCTGCCTGGGGTTTCCATCGCAGATGAGGGGGAGACTGGCATGTTCTCCCTGCACACCATCCGGGGTCATCAGGTGAGGCGGCATTGGGGTTGCAGGTTTAGGAGACAGAAGATCTATGTGGGAGTTTGGAGGGTGGGGGGTGTTGAATGTCTTTTTAAGTTCCCGAACAATGGGCTGTGGTTGCTGTCTTCACCACAAGATGCCTTGGTGAGTCTAAGGCCACAAACCTTAAAGGATGAAGTTAGGAAGATAGATGAGTGTACTGCATTTATTGTTGTAGAACCAGAACATCAGAAAAGAACTTAGGTTATAGTTGATGCGGCCAGGTTACTTGAGTTAGAAACACAGATGAATAGAGGGTCTCCATCAGAGGGGAGCAGCATTCTTGAGTTCATTGAGACCAAATGAGCACATGCATTAGGCTTCTTCCACTGAATACTGAAGAACATGTTTTTCCTGACAAAATCAGGGTCACAGGCAAAATGAACTTTTGTGGCTTTTGTGAGGGAGTGTCATAATCAGGTCATCTTTGTTGGACAGGAGGCAGTAAAGCATGGTGGGCCTAGAGCACACACAGGCTCAGGTTTCCTTCCCAGTTCTACCACCTGGAGCTGTGTAAAGTGACTGAACTATCACTTATCCTTGCTGCCTCAGTTTCCTCATCTGTAAAACAATAATAGAACCTACCTACTAGAGTTTTTGTAAGGAATAAAGATGGTCAGTTGTAATCCCTCCTATGTGATAAACACTCAAGAAACAGTAGTTGGGGTTTTTCTATTGAGACAGGGTCTTGCTTTGTCACCCAGGCTGGAGTGCGGTGGTGCCATCGTGACTCACTGTACCCTCAAACTCCTGGCATCAAGCAGTCCTCCTGCCTCAGCCTCCCAAAGTGCTGGGATTACAGGTGTAAGCCACCATACCAAGCCTAGTATCTTTGCCATGAGGAAAATAAAAGATTCTGACAGTTGGTTTAAGTGGAACAGTTCTGTTGAATGTATGCTGGCTGGGCCCCTTTTACTTAGTGGAAACAAATTGTGTAGATGGTCTTCTCAGGAGGTGACTGAGATGCCATCTGAGAGTAATTTTTAAAAGAAAACCAGTGTTGTAGAATACGTTAAGATCTATTTGTGCTATTACTGAGACAAGACAGCTGAGTGGGAGAGATGAGTAACCCCGCCTAGAACAGGATGTTGTAACAGGCCATTCACTACCCTGGGTCTGAGCTTTCCCGTCTGTGAAAGGAGATAATGGATTTGCCAGTGTTCTTTCTAGTGTTGCTGAGCATAGACTGAGGTGAGGGACACAGAAAAAAACAGTATGTTTTCTTTACCTCTTTGTTTCTGTTACACTTCAGTTATTAGAGGAAGTAACACAAGGGGACATGAGTGCAGCAGACACATTTCTGTCCAATCTGCCAAGGGATGACATCTGTGTGTCAGATGTTGAGGACGATAGTGACGACACATCTCTGGATAGTGACCTGGATCCAGAGGAGCTGGCAGGAGTCAGGGAACATCGGCGTCAAAGGGACGGAAAGGGGTAAGGGGTATGTGTGTGTGCCAGAGGGAATGCTGCCACTCTGAGGCAGCATTGGGTGGGTACTGCCAGAGCCCAAGTAAGGGAGCAAGGGCTCCAGGCACTCTGGGTCCCTGAGCCCCCTCCTACTTTCCTTTGGATCTACAGTGTGCGATTTGCTGAAGCGGAAGATGATCAAGAGGAGGAAAATGAGAATCCGCTGCTGGTACCACTGGAGGAAAAGGCAGTACTGCAGGAAGAACAAGCCAACCTGTGGTTCTCAAAGGTAAGAAGAGGCTGGAGGCAAGACTGATGGGAGGTCAGCCTTCCCTTGGAGAAGGGCAGCTGACATTCTCCCATCACAGGGCAGCTTTGCTGGGATTGAGGACGATGCCGACGAGGCCCTGGAGATCAGCCAGGCCCAGCTGTTGTTCAAAAGCCGGTGGAAGGGACAGCAGCAGCCACAGCCACTGACACCACCTTCCAGCTTGAAGATTGAGAGAATGTCTCCCATGTGCCAGGATGAAACCCCTAACAGAACAGAGGCTTCTTCAGGGACAGAAGCTGCCACTGGCCCTGAAGGGGAAGAAAAGGATGGCAGCTCAGACAGTGATAACAGTAGTAGCAGTGAGGATGAAGAGAGGTGAGTGGTTGCAGCTGATGAGAGAAGTAATAGGAAGCAGTGGCTTGAACCATTTCTCTAAATTGGGGGTTCTCAATCTTAGCTCCAGATGGGGAGAGTTAAAAATACTATACTGATGATCCTGATTCGACTGGTCTTGGATACAGTCTGGCTGGCAGGATTTTTGCAAATTCTGTGGGAGTGCGGTCTCAGTAGTAGGGAGAATGGTGGCATCACTCAGAGTCCTCCTCTCTTCACAGCTGGGAACCCCTCCATGGTAAGAAGCGAAGCCGTGGGCCTAAGTCAGATGATGACGGGTTTGAGATCGTGCCGATTGAGGACCCAGGTGAGCTCTGTATATCATGGAATGAGAGACCACTGAAGTCTCAATATTGGGAATCGAGCTTTGATCTTTCTCCTTCCCTCTTTAGTGAAACACCGGATACTAGACCCTGAAGGACTTGCTCTAGGCGCTGTTATTGCCTCTTCCAAAAAGGCCAAGAGAGACCTCATAGATAACTCCTTCAACCGGTAAAGGGCCAGAAACTCATCAAGAGTGACCCAGGGTCTGGTTGGTAAATGGGTAGTTTCTTTTTTCTGAGACAGAGTCTTGCTCTGTCACCCAGGCTGGAGTGCCATGGCCCCATCTCAGCTCACTGCAACCTCTGCCTCCCAGTTCAAGCGATTCTCCTGCCTCAGCCTCCCAGGTACCTGGGACTACAGGCGCTCACCACCATGCATGGCTAATTTTTTTGTATTTTTAGTGGAGACAGGGTTTCACCATGTTGGCCAGGCTGGTCTTGAACCCCTGACCTCAGGTGATCCACCCACCTCGGCTTTCCAAAGTGCTGAGATTACAGGCATGAGCCACCATGCCCAGCTAATTTCACCACAACCAGGTAATTTCTTCTTTAGAAAGCCTGGAGCGTTGGGTATTGGGCTGATGTCCTTTCCCCTCAGGTACACATTTAATGAGGATGAGGGGGAGCTTCCAGAGTGGTTTGTGCAAGAGGAAAAGCAGCACCGGATACGACAGTTGCCTGTTGGTAAGAAGGAAGTGGAGTACTACCGGAAACGCTGGCGGGAAATCAATGCACGTCCCATCAAGAAAGTTGCCGAGGCTAAGGCTAGAAAGAAAAGGAGAGTAAGTGATGGGCCACCAAAGATTGTTAGTGCTGGGGATAGGGAAGAGATCACCTGACTGAGATCCCTTTGTAGATGCTGAAGAAGCTGGAACAGACCAGGAAAAAGGCAGAAGCCGTGGTGAACACAGTGGACATCTCCGAACGAGAGAAAGTGGCACAGCTGCGAAGGTAACGGGAGGACACCACAAAGGTACACAGGGCTAAAAGTGCAGTAGAAAGTAAGCTTCTAACCTTTTCTCTTCCCTCTGTAGTCTCTACAAGAAGGCTGGGCTTGGCAAGGAGAAACGCCATGTCACCTACGTTGTAGCCAAAAAAGGTGTGGGCCGCAAAGTGCGCCGGCCAGCTGGAGTCAGAGGTCATTTCAAGGTGGTGGACTCAAGGATGAAGAAAGACCAAAGAGCACAGCAACGTAAGGAACAAAAGAAAAAACACAAACGGAAATGAGCAGAGCTGCCAGGCTCTCAGGAGAGCATGGGGACTAGGGAGGAAAAGCGTGGCATGGCTCAGTCTGGCCCCCTTGATACCAGCCCCTGCTCACATCACAGCTGTCTAAAGAACAGTGAGGCAGGGTGCCCAGAATTTCCATGGTGGTCCCAAGCAGAGGAGGATGTCCTCCTGCCTGCCTGAAGGGAGGTCTCCCATGAAAGCACCGAACTGTCTTGACAGACCCATGACCCCTTTTTTAAACCATTAAAGGGAAGTTCAGTGTTGGAGCGACACTCAATGATTCCTGGACATGTGGGCCAGGCCTCTTAAGCCAGGAGCCACACTCAATGTAAATGTAGTCCATTCTTGGACGTGTGTGCCTCTTAAGCCTTCCCCCATTCTATTCCTGAATAAAACCAGGATGATGGAAGAGATGTCTCTCCTTACAGTTTAATAAGTATTTCCCTACATCTGAGTACACACGTGTGCAACACTATTCTAAGTCCCAGTTTAATATGTACCAAAATTCATAGTGAGACAGAAATGACAAACAATCCACAGGTCCCGATAGTGAAACATTTACTAGAGAGCAAGCAGAAAGGAATGCACAGCTTAAAGAAACCTTCACAAAGTCACAAAAGTCAAAGTTTGTGTATTTCTTTTCCTTTTATAAACAAGATAGAACAAAAATCACCAAAATCATTTCGGCAAAAGACTTTTCTACCATTGGGGCAAGTTAAAAAAAATACAGTGAAATAGAAGACACTTTAAAAGCTGTTGTTGCGTTAATTTTAAATTTAGCAACACCACCTCAGACCTGGAGTAATCCTGGAACAGTTACCAGGATCACCTTTTCCCTTCAATCCCTGTGACTTCTGGGAATCTTCAGAGCCTGGGTCTGGAAGGTGCTTCTTACGTGTCTCAGGGCTGGATGCAAACCTGGCTGGGGACCTGAGCATCGAGTCCCATTTAGAATCAAACATCTCCCTTCCCCACAAACATCTAGAACCTACCAAACTGCTTCCCAACAATTCAATGGATTAGGTGTACAGAAGCCAACTCCTAAAAATGGGACTGCTGGGCCACACAACTAAGAAAAAGAATTCAATTTATAGATGTTTATAAGGTGACACCTTAGTAAAAAATACAAGCTATGTATAATATAAACCTAGAGTGAGTTTTGTGCCCTATAAGGCCCTTTCTCCCAAGGTAACCTCAACTTACCCTCATGACAACTCACCTAGAGCCAAAAGAAGTTTCCCAGCTCTCACTGCTTCCAAGGACCAAAGCAGCTTCCCAAGAAAACATCCGAAAATTCCTTCTGATGAAGGGGTAATGTCTCCAAGCTCCAGCTCTCCACTAAGGGCAGGGGGTCCTTACCCTTTGGACCCCAACCCAGCCCTGAGACACCTAGTTACCAAAATCTTTCTAAAAATTAAGGACAACTGATTTCACGCTTTAGCACATCCCCTCTAACTGTCCCATCGACTTTTCTTGCGTTTAGGTGGCTCTGGGACAGCAAAGCCATCAGCTGTCTTATCTGTCTTGCTGTCCGCCTTGTCCATCTTGCTGCTGTCCACCTTGGGCTCCATCTTGCTCTCACGATTACAAGCTTCTTTCTTGCTTTCCCCATTCCGACCGTCATTTGTACCCCGGTTCTCCCCATGCCGGCCTGTGCTTCCTCCATGCCTGCTCTCACCATGCCGATGGCCATCAGTATGACGACTGCTGCTTTCTGGGTGGCGGTTTCCATCTCCATGGCGACCACCATCTCCGTGACGTGGGCTGTCACCATGTCGATTGCCAGTCTCTCCGTGACTGTGACGGCTGCTGCCCCGGTTCTCAGTATATCTCTCTCTTTTCCCGTTGCCACCCCCAGTCCCTTCTCGGCTGTTATTCCCTGAAGCTGTGTTGTTGACTCCCTGGGCTCCGGCAGATGGGTAGGTCACAGGGGCACCACTGATGTTGCCACTATTGCCAAAGCCTGGGATGCCCTTGGCACTGGTGACGGGGCTGTCAGGACTGTTATGGCCCTGTTGTGCTGAGTTAGTAGGAACAGAATTCAAGCTCCCTGCACTAGTCCACCCACTTGCCCCAGCAGCAGAGCTTCCAGCCTTCTGATTACTTAAACTGGCTGCAACAAAATGACTCTTGTACTGTGACTGAAAGAAAAAGAGACATCAGGAGTAGGTAAGATAGCAAGTTCTAGAAACTTGAATATACAACTTGGCAAATGATGAGGTTTAGAGAAACTATAACTATGCTATCTTGGCACTGTGACTTTAGTGTCCTGATGTCCCCACAGCATGGTCCCTTTTGTTCTTGTGCTAAAAAGGAAAACTTGTGGATCTCTGTGGAGAGGTGGACCTCAGTGTTCTGAAATGTACTTTTATAGCCTGATCGACTAGAATAAAGCATCTATGATTTGCCACATTTGTGGCTTACAATCTTATTTACCATTCAGAATCAAAAAGTTCTGAAAACTTAAAATTTTACACCAAAGTCTAAATTTAAATTTGACAGCCAAATCTGCCTTGAACTCATTCTATCGATTCACCTTAGTGTGACTATCAGTACATTTTGCTTCAGAAGTGAGCACCTTGGAGGTGGGCAACTCCACAGGCTGCTGGGAAGGGAGGGAACACACATCCTGCTGCAGAACGACAATCCCAGGCTCTGAGTGGGACTCAAGCAGACCAGCACAAGGGGTTCTCTAGATCAACTTGCATCTCCAGGTAAGCTACTGTTAAGTTTATATTCAAAATCCAAGCAGTGTGAAGACCCTAAATCTAGCAACAAGCCTACGAACCCAGCTACAACCAGGAAAACTAGGCCCTTTTGTCACTGCCCAAAAGTTACTATTTAAAACGTGTTTAATCAAATGCTTATTTCAGACCTGGAAAGCTGCTTTCATTGCTGTTAGTCGATCTCCCATAGCTCCTGTGGAAGGCTTGTAGGCCTCATAATTGCTCATTACATTGTTATTTCCTCGGTCCTAAAAAGATAAGCATATCTATGAGGATGGACAAATAACCAGGAAAGAGCTCACTGCCATAGATGGGGCCTCATTATAAGGAAAACCTTGAAGCAGGAGCTACAATGAAACTGGATACTTTTAGAAAGCTACTTATGCTTTCTGAGAAAAAGACACAGTGACAATCATTTAAAAATGTTTATGCCCTCAACACAGAAATTCTAAGAATTAATCCTGTTAATCAGATATGCAATCAGATTATGCCCAAAGTTGACCATGTATTATTTACATACACAAATCCAATTATATAAAAATTACGTTAAAGATAAAAAGGCCACCTGTATAGTATATTGTGTGACTGCTCAGGTCCTGAATCAAGACCATGGAGGGACTGAATTTCAGCTTCAACACTTGCTAGTGTAACCTTAGGGGCCTCAGTGTTGTTATCTGTACTAACTTCCATTCGGTTGTTGTGAAGATTAACTGAGCTAAAACATCGGATTGATTGGAATGGTCCTGGCACGTAAAAAGTGCTCAATAAATATTAGCTATTATGCATAATCATCATTATTACTATAATGTGGGAATCAAAGATGCCAAATTTTAACTATAATGCTCCAGAAAAGTATACTGGCAGCTTTCTTCCCTGGCTTAGAAGTCAAAGTGACAGAAAACGGGTAGTTAAGAAAGGCTACGCAAAGGGTACTTTTGTTATGGATTCTGAGGAAAAACTAGCTCCCAACTTGGAAATTCCTGACCCATTCCTGAGTTTACTGACAAGATATGGCTAGATTTTACAGTGACCCTATGGCAATATTTCCCTAGCAGCAGGCTTTTAGGCCAGGGCTGAAGGGCTTGTAAAAGCAGACTCCTGGGCCCCAACTCTAGAGTTTCTGATTTGCAAGGTCTGGGGTTGGGGATGAGTTTGTATATGCTGCTGGTCTAGGGACCACAATGTGAGATCACTGCTAATCTAGAATAATTTCCTGAGCAAGCCTTGTCAGCCAAGTACACAAAAAATGCTTCCTCAATAAAAAGTTAAAGCTCCACTGACTCAAATCAGATTAAATACAAATTTCCTTCTAGACACGGTTTTGAACTCACTGAAGCTTTCTTGGGTACATGAGACTATTCCTTATGACATTCAGGACATGGGACCAACCCTAAAGGAACTACTGTAGTCTGGACTCACCATGTTCTCAGAGCCCAGGCCAGGCCGCTCCCTATAACCTAGGCCTCCTCCACCAATGTTCAGCTTTTTTCCTTTCCCTCCTTTGAAGCGAGATTTCCGAAACCAGGCATTCTGCATTGAACAAAATTCAAGGTTAAGTCAGGGAGGGAGAAATGACCAAAGGAAGAGGACAAGGGCAAAGAAGAAATTAGGTGGGAAGGGAGAACTTTTTGCTTAATTTTCAGCCCGCACATTTACACTAAGGGAGGAACTGTTCACAGGAACCACAGATTGGCTTCTCTTTGGTAACATAATCCACCAAATTTGAAAAACAGCTGAGATCTTTATCTAAGGCTTCCTATAATGCTCCCTACCTCAGGGTCTCCTGGAAAGGAAGTTGTTCAGATAAGCTTCAAATGCAGAAGTGTCACTTTGGCTACTTCTAACTTCCTTGAAGAAAATGGACTTATTTTTCATTTCTCAAATCACCTATACATACTATTGGCCATAAACATTTGGAGCTTAAAGAACTGGTATGTTCAGAAGCAAAGGAAAAACACTATGTGAAGTGAGGCTTATCAGAATTGACTATAGGAACAGACTCCTGGAAAAGATGGTAGCCACACAACTGAAAATTTTATTTGCCCACAAAGCCTAAAAGTTTTCATTGAACTTGACGAATGCCAGAATAATACTCACCATATTTATTCATATTCTCTTAAGAATGCAGGGCGGTGGCTCACGTCTACAATCCCACCACTTTGGGAGGCCAAGGCGGGTGGGATCACTTGAGGCCAGGAGTCAACACCAGCCTGACCAACATGGTGAAACCCTGTCTCTACTAAAACTACAAAAATTAGCCAGGCGTGGTGGCACATGCCTGTAATCCCAGCTACCTGGGAAGCTGACGCGGGAGAACTGCTTGAACTGGGAAGTCAGAGGTTGTAGGAAGCTGAGACTGTGCCACTGCACTATAGCCTGGGTGAGAGTGAGACTCCATTTCAAAAAAAAGAAAAAAGCAAACATCTCTAGGGAGGTTAAAGCTTTATCCAACAATCACATATTACCAGCAAAATAAAGTACTTGAGGGGTAGGGCAGCAGGCCTGGGCAAAGTCCTGAGCACAGAACGGCTGAGGCACAAAAAGAGATGAACGAAAATGCCAAAGACAAAATGTAAAATGTGTCTCATTTAAAAGGTTATTTAGGACTGACTCTCTGTGCTCAGGAGCAGGGGAGGAAACATTCTATTCTCTCTCTTGAAGCACAGGTCCTTTACTCCTAGGACC